GCCGCCTCCCCCCCCCCCCCCCCCCCCCCCCCCCCCCTCTACACCTCCTCGCGTATCCGCCCAGCGCACCCGGACTGTTCGACCCAAGCGCCATCAAGCGAGACGTGGGAGACAATTGGGCGCTCAAGCTTAACAACCTCAAGAAGGTAGGTGTTTTCGATAGAAACACAAGACGTCCCCCTAGCTGGTAGCGGGAACGGTTGCCTCCGGAAAGGGGGAGGAAGCCTTCTGAACAAAAAACGTTCGTAGAAATGAGCCGGATGTTCGAGTAATAGCGGCTACTCTCCTGGGGATTATCCCGCATCAACATGCGCCTCCTTTCCGATTCGGTACGGTATGGTGCAGTATGGTATTGTACGGTACGGTATGGTACGGTTCGTATGATGTGGTACGGTATCGCTGCCGAAGGAAGAAGATTGTGAGTTGCAGAGCTCGTCTTAGGTAGGTAAGCCTGCGTCTTTTTGTTTTTATCGCATTCCGCACCGGCAAGCTGGTTGTTTCCGACGCGAGATGTCAGGTGCCGTGGGGGTCGTTTCTGGTGGGGGCTGCCCCCCGTTTCGGTAAACGGCAGCACAAACATAACGTGGCACGCAGCAGCTGCGGGACACCGGTTTGCGGTTGTGACCATGCCCGCAAGTATGGTGGGGTTGGTTGGGTGGTGGCTGTGGGTCTACCATGCATACAGTACACGCGAACTCTTTTTGGTTTCATCTTGAGCACATTCATGATTGGGGTGCCCACACACCCCTTCGTTGGCACATGGGCATTTTTGCCCAGTTCTCTCGCGCGAACACACTTTTTTCCCCACGCGCTTCCAAAGACTGCAAGACGTCCCGTTCGGCTGTGGCATTTTCCCGAACAGGTGCACTCTTTGTGATTGTATATTAATTTTCTCAATACCAGATCCTCGTTTATTCTTCTCCCTATCCCTCCCTCCGCACGACGCTGTTTACAACATTAAAAAAACACCTACAGCACTCTTGACCCCCCGCGTGTGTGGCTTTTTCACGTGCCTGGACCAGGTGTCGTTTAACCTTGAGTCGTTCTACAGAGAAGGTCTCGGCTTTGAGTACCCAGAGATTGACTTGGACCTCACCAGCGTGGCCAGAACAGCGGACGCCGACGGCATCGCCGCGATGGTGCAGCTGCTGGTGGGTGCGGCTGTGTCTTGCCAAGGGAAGGCGGACTACATTCAGGCCATCATGCAGGCAAGGAGACAAGGCTGTGTGGAGGGGGGCACTCTTTTGGCGGCGTTTTGGTTTGAGACACCAGGGGGCGGGGGGGTCATGCATCACATCTCCAGAGATATCTACCAGAGGGGGTGCTCCATATGCAGCGTTTCGTTTGAGACACCAGTGCCAAACGGGGGGGGAGGGAGGGGGTGCACCGCGTTCCGTGAGGCGTCGATGGCGCAGGGAGGGAAATGGCGTGCCGCGTTTGGAGAGGCCTATCAAAGCCGTTGCCTTTAGCAATTCCGTTCTGTTGCCCCTCCTGGCTTTTTGATCGGCAGACTCCTGCTGGGTTCTTTTTAGCGCCCTTGCACGTTTTTTTTTTTGGTAGTCACTTGCCGCACGCGTGCATCCTGTAGCAGCTTCCTCTGTCTGTGTGGCTTCCCACGACGCCGCCAAGCTCATTCAATTTCCCGCCAACGCTGCACCCCCTCCTTCAAAGCAAAACGTCTCACATATTTCCCGCGGTTGTCTTCGCACGCATCCGAACAGATGTCCGTTGAGGGGCAAGAGGCCATGCAACAGGTGGTCCAGGACGCGATGGCCGGGATGTCTACCTCGGGGCAAGGGGCCCCGCAGGATGACGCGTACTCGACGGACCGCGACGGGGAGGGCGTTGTTGGAGAGGGGGGCGGGAGTGATGGGGGGGGGGGGGGGGGGGGGGNGAGGAGGCCTTGCTGGACGAGAGCATGTCGAGGGAGCAGAGGGAAGAGGAGTGGGCGCTGAGAATGTCGGAGACGGAAGATGCGATGGTGCGCTCGGTAGCAGCATGCAGGCGTTGTTGTTGTTGGTTCAAAAATGCTGCTGTATGTCTGCGGTTCAGCGTTATCGGTGCGCGCGGTAGTATGCAGGCGTTGTTTGTGATTTCGTGGTTATCGGTTAGCTACATTTACATTTAAGAAATACACGCTATCTTGTTGCCACTGCTGTAAGTACCTGCACGCTTGCAGTGAGTTTCCGTCCCTTCCTGAAGGGTGTGTTGCCTTACTCAAAAGCTGCTGAGGAAGTCTGTGGCAGATGCTCGTTCGGTCCCTCTTCAGCTTGATCTGAATGCTGGATCCGTTGGTTAGCTTCAACAAACTCTGCACTGACTTGCACGTCCAGCGCGATACGACAGCTGTGTCGAAAGTGCCTGCTCTAGAACACACACACACACACAACCTCCTGTGCGCCTTGACAGTAAAACCCTTCGAGTAGAAGGATTGTTCGCGTCTTTTTTCCCGCTTTTGACAGACGTCTTTTTATTGGTCAGCCTGCGAACGCCGTCGATACTATTTCAAATACGCACACGCACACACACACAGACACGATTGGCCACGGTGACACACCCGCATTGGTATTCCTAGGAACGCTTTTGCGAGGATTCATTTGTTTGACTTTGAAATAGAGAGGAAAGGTTCGGATCCCTAACCCTTACCCCCGACCCCCCCAACCCGGAACCCCACTACCGTATATGACACAAGATAAGACACCCCCTGGACCGATTGTCAAAGCTCGAGCACTCCACGACCAAGAGGATGCTTTAGCGAAACGACACGTTTTCGGAGAGCTTTTGACCACAAGGCTTCAACGCCAACGTTTTCGGCACCCCCACTCTCGCTCTGCTGTTGAGAAATCGAGCCTTGGAAATCGGGCCAGGGGGTGTGTTATCTTGTGTCATATTCGGAAAAACCGAGGCTTTGACCCTCGGGAAGGCCACTGCATTCCTACATCGATAACCTCCCGCCTTCGGTGCAATTGGCCTAATCGCCTCACGTGGCATCCAACTGTTGCCTGTACGCCGGATGTCATCATCGATTATTGATAGATGGAGTTGAGGCGAGAGCGGGAGCGCGAGTCGGCCTTAAGGACCGAGGCGGAGAAGGAGGTGGCGGCGCTGAAGGAGAGGATCGTTGAGCTGGAGGCCCACGCTAAGGCTAGGTGGGTTGGGTGTAGTTGGATTGGGTTGAGTTCAAATGGATAGGATTGGGTTGAGATGGATTGTGTGTTGGTGAGTTGGGAGTGGTTAGATTGCATCGAGTTGACACGGAATGGGTTTACGTGGGTGCAGTTAGATGGGTTGAGTTGACATGGACTATGATGCGATTGTAGGTCGTTTGGGACTGTGTAGGAGATGGTGTTTGGTGCTTGTTTGCCTGCGATATCTCGTGGATTGGGTTGGGTTGAGATTAGGTGAGTTGGGTCCTTTTGGGGCTGAACCACGTGTTTATTGTGTTTTGTCGTGCGGTACATTGTCGTGAGGATTTGGGCCGAGATGCAACGGGTCCTGTGGGGCTGTACCAGGTGACATTTATCTTTGTGTTGTCCCTGTGATATCTGGATGATCGATTGGGTTGAGGGGGGTCGGTGGTGAAGCTCGGCCCGTCCGTTGGCTGTTTTGGTAGCTTAACGTGCGGGTGGGTATGCCTCGGGACACGTGAGGTGGGGTGGCAATGGGTGGGAAGAACGCCTTTTATTTCTCTGTCTGTGTGTTTCGTGTGTGTTTTATGTGTGTCGGCATGCTGATTTTGTTTTCTGTTATCTTTTGCCAAAACGGAAGGTGGGAAGGCTCACACGCTTGCATGTATGAATGCGTCACGAAGCCGCTTTTTTTTTTCTTTTTCAGGAGTGCCCGCGACGAGGAGACGTCTAGCATGTCGGCCTCTCTGCAGCGGGCGATGAGCAGCCTGGAGGACAAGGAGGCGGGGCTGCAGCAGGCGCTACAGGACACGAGGGTGGCGGAATCAAAGCTCGCTCAGGTTCGTTGGTGTGGCGTGGGTGCGGCCTTCTTGACGCGCCACCGCTTCAGAACTTCGCGGTCAAGAAACCTGAGCCTCAAACTGTTGCAAAATACACGCAGAAACTTGTCCATCAGAGCATATGCTCAGCAAGGAAGCCTACTTGTACGCTACAACCTATACTGTCGCCGTAGGGGTAGTCTACTTGTGACCATGCACAACACAATACGCAAAACGAGCCTCGGGCGAAGTGAGAGGTTCTCAAGTGGTGCCGCGATTTGTATTGGTTGGTCGCATGCCGCTGCCGTGTCTTTGCCGAAGGGCGCCCTGCAGATTGTCGTCGGTAGAGAGGGGCCTTCACGACGAGATACATGTACAGACTGATCGAATGTATTTGTACTTGAGTAGAGTTTTTGGTCATTTTCCGGGGCTACTGTGGGTGATGTAGACGTGGTTCGTGAGGTCTGCTTCTGATTGGCGAAGCGTTGGGATCTACTCGTTGGCTTTGGGCTTGGGGTTGTCGCTGGTGGAGGAGCGCTGGCTGGATGGTTATTTTGCTGGTTTAGACCGGCGGTGTGCTGGAACGCTACCGTGCCCTGCTCGCTGGAAGGCTTTAGCTGCTGTCTGCTGAGCGAAACACGCAAACAGGTTGCTTGATGCGGTCATGCTTGTGCCTCGCATCCGTTGTGCGGCTTCTGCTGTTTGGTGGGGTATCCGCAACCGACATCGTCACAATTGTGCCCTTGTACCGCAGGAGAGCAAGGCAAGGGCGGAGAAGGAGTTCGAGCTGCGTCAGATGGAAGACGAGCTCGACATTGCTAAGGCTAAGGCCTCCCAGCTCACAAAGGTAGATTTCGTCTGCTTTGTTTCAGTTGACGGTGTGTGGTGTGTGGGGTTTGTCGGATGATGTGGGCCCGGACCCGATGGAGAGACGTGTGTTGGGATGTCAATTCGTTGCGATTGGTTCGTGGTGGTGTGCGAGCCTCTCCTTCTCCCTTTCGATGCCACGTTTACAGCACACAAGAATATGTTTTGTTGTTTCGTTTGTCGCTATTTTTTTTTGGTAACTTGCCTTTGACCAAGGAAAACTTCCAGTTCTGCGCCCTTATTTCTGGTTTTGGGCATGTGGATATTGTGGGTGTACTGGGTATGCAGGTTGCGGCGCGTTTTTGGGCGAAGCCAACCCAAAAGCAACAATACCCCTCGCTGCCAGCCACCCCCGTCCACATGTGCTTCCCTCCTCCTTTCCCCCTTCCCTTCCTCCGCTCCCCCCCCCCGGTGCTTGCCATCGGGGTTGGGTTTTCGTCGCTTGGCAACGACGTTGTAAAACAAGCCAATTCACTTCGTGAACTCGGCAACCAGGTTACCGGGTTTTTTTTTTTCCTCCGTTTTTTTTTTGGCGGTAACTATTATGGTGGTCGAGTAGATCATGTTGTGCGGGGTGGAGAACCCTCACTCCGCGCAAGGGGGATGATCGCACCACGT